CGTACCCCCCAGCCCTGGGCAGCCCCGGAGCCCTAGCCGGAGCTGTGGTGGGAACAGCGGGGCCCTTGGAGAGACGTGGGGCGCAGCCCGGACGACACTCAGTTACGGGCTACGGGGACTGCGCCGCGGGGGCCCGTTACCAGGACGAGCTAACAGCACTGCTGCGCTTGACCGTGGCTACCGGTGGGCGAGAAGCCGGTGCCCGCGGGGAACCCTCGGGGATTGAGCCGTCGGGTCTGGAGGAGTCTGCTGGTCCCTTCGTTCCGGAGGCCTCCCGAGCCCGGATGAGGGAGCCAGAGGCCAGAGAAGATTACTTTGGTGAGTAGGAGAGATGAAGCTAGGGACCCGAGAGACCCGACAACGCATGCGGCTTCCCAGCGCCTCGACGGCCCAAGTTGCCGGTGGCCGCGGGTTGCAGGTGGGGACCCCGGACTAGAAAAGGGGCTAGTGGGATGGAGGAGGGCGGACCCTGGAGCACTTGCTTGTTCCTGCCAGGTTTCTAATGGGACAGGGCTACTGACCCCTGGCAAATTCAACACCTTATTTTCTCGGGACTCTCCTTTTCCCCAAGCATCGGGACACCTCGGCTTGTCGCAGTAGGAGGCCTTGTAAGGAGGAGGCGCTGCGGGGCCGGGAGAGCATCCTCCCGCGCCCCCCTCGCGGCTGGGCTCCTGCAAGCTCCGGCGTGCCGCGCCCCCACCCGCTCCTTGCTCCTCCCGTAGGACTTCGGGGAATGCGCGGGGGGCGGGGCGGGCGGCCGCGTGCGTGCCGACTCCTGCCCTGGCGCTCCAGGTGGGGGGGGCGACGCCCGCCCGCCAGGCGGAGGGGTGGGGAGCTGGTGCTCGCATTGGGGGATGTTTGCTTGCTCCCGCGCAGTCGTGGCTGCTGTCGGGGAAATGGAGCCTGGAAGGGGGAGGCCTCAACTCCCTAGAATGGAAAGCGGGGACTCAAGTCTTGTCCGGTCAACCCTAGTCCTGGTGGTGAGGTGTGTGCCGGTGGCCTTTTAAAACAGGCCAGTACCTATCAGCCTGTTTCCCCCAGCCTTCGGAAGTCAGGGCAAAACCAATGACCACCTGGAGACCATTACCCTTGCAGACAGATACCTGCTCTGTGTGACTACCAGGTATTAACTGATTTTGAGTCCCGTCCGGTCCCCGTGTCGTCCCCCACCCCAATAACTTGAGCAGCGTTCAGGAAGAAGTAGCCCTGCTTTCTTTGCTGTTACTGTTGAGGAAACCTGGTCACAGCCTCTCTCCAGCATTCTTTTCAAGAAGTACAGATCGGTTGTTAAAGCTAGGAGGTAGGGTGTTAACCCCCACAGACATTACTTAATTATATAAAGCAGTTATGATGTGAATGTGGAGGACACTCCCACTCCTGGACTCTTCGGCTTTCCAAGGACCCTTGTTTTTCCACCATCCATGTCTTCCCTCCCCCCCACCCCCCTCCCCTCCAATGGCTAAATATGAATAGAGAGAAGGGTAATTGGAAGTTCAAAGGTAGTGCCGTAGTAGGTTGGAAGGGACTGAGTTCAATACACGCACACTTTTTTACCTTTTGAGTAAGCGGGGGTGGGGGGTGCAGAGCAAATGAACTAAATCACGTTGCTCAGGGGAAACCACGGCAGTGCCCATTTAACAATTTCCTTTTGCAGTCCACGGGAGAGCTGGTTTAAAAAAAAAAGTCTCACTGGCTAAACCCTTAGAGCCCAAAGAAAGACTCAAAAAGTGCAGTGAAATGGCAGGAAGATGATAGGTGTAGGTGGTCTGTGATCGGAGGAGGTGAGGTGAACATGCCCAAGCAGCTCCGTTGCTCTGACGGGACCCCCTGGCATGGCAATCTTGGGCAAATTTCTCTGGTCATGAGGTAGGAGAACACTTTTTGAACTCAGAAATGAAACCAGCTTGCCCCTCACAGAACCCTTACAGCCGGCTGTGCCCTAGCGCTAGCCTGATGGTACCTTTTACTGCTGTCTCTAGTTAGGGGCCCTCTTCCTTGGCTTCGGCTCTGCCCAGCTGCCAGAGGGTGGGAACAGGACCCAGCTGCTGCCGCAGCTGCCGCACCAGCTCCCAAAGCCCTGGGCAAAGACTGGGATGGGCCCCAACAGGCAGGGAGTGTGGCAGTGTGCCGAGGGGGAAAGGTGGGGCAGGCCCGTTGGGATCTGCTCCCCAAAGACAGGTCTTAGCCCTCAGTCATGGGCCTGGAATTGGGGAGTGGAGGGAAGGAAGAACACACCCAGGAAAGGCTGGTTCCAGGACCAGGTGTATGTGTGTTAGTGGACAGTGCCAGGAGACACCAGCTAAGCCTTGTTTCACGTGGCAGGAAGGCCATGACATTACTGTCTGCTGTCCCCCACCCCCAATCCTGTATGCTCCTGGCCCCTGAAGCCCCCCAGCTGTGTCCTTAGCAGTGACTTCTAGAGGAGTGTTCACGAGGCCTGTCTGCACAAAGCACCCTTTGCTGGGCCAGATGAAGTTTTATGGATGGTAAAAGCGAAGTCCCAGAGAGACTCAGGGGCCTGGATTGCTCTCTTTAGAACGTTCTTTTTCCAGGTGCTGCTGGGGCCCTGTGTACCGGCATCTCCAACTCCCACCACTCTGGCCCACTTGTCCCAAAAGAAACAAAGCGTTTGAACTTTAAAAAAGTTTTTTTTTTTTTTTTTAAATTAGGTTCTGTGCTAAGCACAAAACGGGTGTTCAGAGAATATCCGTTAATTTAGAGGGAAGGACCTACCTAGTCAAGATTAGGCTGCCCCTATTTCCATTCCTTTTTTTTTTTTTTTTTTGAGCCAAGGTCTCATGGCTTCAACTTAGGTTTCGACAGATGTGTAGCCAGAGTATCCTTGAGCTCCAGATCCTCTTGCCTCTACCTCCTGACCCTTGACTGCCTGCTTAAACCATGCACTATCACACCGTTTCCTCAGTGCCAGGGGTGGAACCTGGGGCTTTACACATGGCAGGCAAGCATTCTGCAAGTCGAGCTTGCGTCTCCAACCCATTTCGTCCCATTTCTAGTTACCCTGTCTTCTCGGATATTAAGGGAAATGTGTCCTCCTTGAGAAAGCTTGGGGATACCCAGATTTGAGCTGGGGAATTGGAGTGTGCCGCTGACCGGCTCTTCCCCTCGCAGGCACCTGTATCAAGTGCAACAAAGGCATCTACGGGCAGAGCAATGCCTGCCAGGCCCTGGACAGCCTCTACCACACCCAGTGCTTTGTCTGCTGTTCCTGTGGTGCATGCACCTGCTACACAAGCCCCCCTCTCCCAGCACGCCGCCCCCGCCCCCCCCCCCCCCCCCCCCAGAACCCTTTC